CCCAGACAACGTGCCACTTGTTTGATCTGCAAGCAGCCTACTATGAGAAAACCATTTGTGCGGGTGACTTCAATGGCCACTCTCCCGAATGGGACTACGTCAACTATAACGGCACAGGCCGAAAGATTGAGGTGCTGTGCGAAACCAGCAACCTATCTGTGTTACAAGATGTTAATTCAACTCCTACCTTACTTCACAGAGCCCACTTGATTCTCACTACTCTCAGCCGGCCTGATCTCACCATCTGCTCATCCGACATTAAAAACTCCCGTCGCATCGAAGTGATTGATGACATAGGAAGTGATCACAGGCCTATCTTCATACAGATCACCTCCCCACCTGCATTGAACCACCCTCAGAGGACTCGATGGAACTTTAAGAAAGCCAACTGGGCAGAATACGAAAAGACCTCGGACGAATTGCGTTCTAGCATAGCAGAAACAGAAGATGCTGATCTTTTTAATGAACAAGTCACCAAAAATATTCTTAAAGCTGTATCTCAGCACATTCCACGCGGATGCCGAAGAAATTTCAAACCCTTTTGGTGTGAAGAAATCCAGACTGCTGTGGCAGAAAGAGAGAAAGACAGACAGTCATTGGAAACATCACCATCACCAATAAACAAAATACATTACAATAAGACTTGCGCTCAGGTGAAAGTGACGGTAAAAAAAGCCAAAAAAGATAAATGGACTCAAACCTGCAAAGATCTTGACCTTCGCCACAATGAAACAAAGGCTTGGTCCTTTGTCAGCAACCTCTCGGGAGAAAGACAAAAAAGCAACCCCAAACCCTTTTTTTCTTTCAGGCAGCACCATCACTGAAGACCAGAAGAAAGCCGAACATTTTAACCGGTTTTTAGCCTCTGTAAACAAGGCAGGCAGACTAACCGAGGCTCATCATAAATAGGGCCAAGCATAAAGAAAAAGCCCCTACTGTGAACAACTCGCTTTTTGAAGAGGATTATAGCATGGTGGGACTCAGTCAGGCCCTCAAAAAGCTACGGGAAAAGAAAGCACCAGTACCAGATAAAATACACAACGAAATGCTGTGCAACTTGGTGCTAAAGGAAAAGAAGTTCTTCTTTCCCTGATAAATACCACGTGGAGAAAAAGTTGAATACCAAAGGCAAGGAGGATAGCCCAGATTATACCGCTCCTGAAAAATGGGAAACCACCTGGAGATAACATGATGTATCGGTAATCTTGCGGAAAGAATGGTAAACAACCGCCTCCACTGGTACCTGGAAAACACTAAGCGTTCGTGTGTGTTTGTGTGTGTGTGTGTGCATGTTTAAAGAGAGAAAGAGAGAGAGAGAGAGAGAGAGAGAGAGAGAGAGAGAGAGAGTTTGAGAGCAAACAAATGAGAAAGAGAGAGGGAGTGAGAGAGACAGAGACAGACAGAGAGAGAGACAAAGAGAGACAAAGAGGGACAGAGAAAAACACAGAGAGAGAGAGAGAGAGAGAAAGAGAGAGAGAGAGAGAGAGAGAGAGAGAGAGAGAGAGAGAGTTTGAGAGCAAACAAATGAGAAAGAGAGAGGGAGTGAGAGAGACAGAGACAGACAGAGAGAGAGACAAAGAGAGACAAAGAGGGACAGAGAAAAACACAGAGAGAGAGAGAGAGAGAGAAAGAGAGAGAGAGAGAGAGAGAGAGAGAGAGAGAGAGAGAGTATACCAGCGAGGGAAAGATGGGCAAGAGATGGGGAGGGAGACAGCTAGCTAGATAGCTAGATGGATAGATAGATAGATAGATAGAGAGAGAGAGAGAGAGAGAGAGAGAAAGAGAGAGAGAGAGAGAGAG